ATGATATCTTTGATGAGAGAAGCAACCACAGTTGTCAGTGCTCGAGCCCAGAGGACGAGAGTGACGACCAACTGCTGTCATTGTGAAAGTCTTGAGCTGGCCCGAGAACAGTTGGGAAACATGTATAGAAAATGTCAGATTGTATGTCAACGACTTTTGAAAGAGTCTAGTATCTAAATCCTATTTGTTTGTTTGAAAATGTGTTTTACCGGCGAGGAGGTGCATACATCTGTGTTTGACAATATGTGTGTATGTGAGCATTCTACAATCTCATGTAAGTTGCGATTGTGGATCGTGTAGATGACATCCCTTCCACAGATGGATTCCCGAAGATCTTGTTCGTGGCATGGCAGACATTGGGGAAGGAGAGACAGAAAGAGGGCAGTGTGAAACACACAACGAAGAGGTGTTTCATGCTCACAACAAGGAGGATGACGATATGGATGGAGGTCGGCGTGGTCATGGCAAAAAACCAACGAGGGAGGATCATGTTAATAATGGAGGGGAATGCGAGTGTCATGTCAACGACAAATGTGTGACATTGACTGAGGATGGTTTGTTTTTTGCGTACGCTGTGAGGTGGGAACCTAATGTTGTCCAACCGGGATTGTTTCACCGGAAGCATTGTTTTGCTGTGAATTGCAATGACACATGGATCCCTGTGGAGGCACCACATCCTCAGGTATGGGATCATTTCACTCTGGCAATTACAGAGGAATGAGTGTCAAGGCTAAATCCATCTGTTCCTAGAGATGCCCTCACACTTCATTCCTTCACCATCCACAAACTTTTGAAGGACAGAAAAGAACTACGATTGAATGACTTTTTGTACGACAACATGGAGTTTCCAGTTCCGTGGGTTGTCAGTGGTGGAGATATGAGACCAGAGACTTGTTCTCACGATGATCCCAGGAGAGACCCTCGTTGGGGGTGGGTGCCGCTCACGATCCCTGCAACAACTGGTGTTGTGCGAGTGAGGCGGCAAGACATGATGGGGAACTGGTGGTTTGTCCAATATGTGAATGGAAAATTCACTCTTCGAACTTTTGATTGTAAGAGGGGGGTGGAAAATGGGAATAGCGTGGATAGTAACGTTCCTCTTAACAATCCTGTTGCACTCGAGTTTTCAGATGGCCACACGTTTTATGGGGAGGTGAATGTGTGTCTCACAGACAAGCAGGGCACGATGGAAAGGTGCACTGATGTGTGGGAGGATATATGGAATCCATATATCCACAAAGAAGAAAACATATATCGGTATGATATGACTCACACATCGGTGACAACACCTGATTCAGCGATGTGTGCAACCTCAAACTAGGTGGGGTATCTTGTGAATTGGATTGACAATGTGTTGCAGCCGGGATATTGGCAAGGGAAGTTGTCGATGGCAGCAAAAGCTCCTTCAGGCCACTGGCTGCCTTTGGGGTTCATGAAGAAGGGACTTGTATCTCATTGGCAATTCATGGTTGTGCTTGCCAGGGTATCGTTGCGCAATCCTAACATACTGGATAAGAAGGTATTGCACGATCATGCACAGCAGGTATGGCGGTCTATCGACGAGGATGACAGAGAGATGATCGTTTGTGGATATGATTCCACAGCACAGAGAGGAATGTGGCTTGTCGGCGCGGGTGATGATGGTGAGGATGACAGTGACAACGATGTCACATTTTGATTTTTGGATGATCTGCGTGAGCATTTCCATTCTTTAGCTCTTTTGGGATGGGTGCCGGTCATTTGGAAAGAGGAACATATGGATAACAGTCCTGTGCATGTTACTTTTAAGGATCCATTGGGAGTTCCTTTCGACCTGGTTTATGAAGGGGGTTTATTGCGTCATTGCATGTTGAGTGGAGGCGAGGCAAGAGACCATGCAGTTTCTGCAGAGCAAGAGGACGCAGAGCAGGAAGTTGGTGGTGGGTCAGAGTATGAGGACGACACACCAGGTGTGCCA